AACTGCGACTGTGCGTGTGTGTTTCTGTGTGTGAGTGTGAGTGTGTGTGTGTGTGCAAGCTAGTACTTTATGCAATTGCTGAATGTGTGTGGGCGGTAATAAATTTTATTCGCTGCGCTATTTTCAAGTTTCATATTGCCTTTTATTATTTTTACTGGCTTTGGGCGCCAGCAGTCCCTGACTCTATGTGTGTGGCTGTTTGTGTTAGTTACAATATTATTATGTTAATTATCTTATGATGTTTCAATTGCAATAACAATGCCGTGTTATCTGGGTAGATGGAAGGGAAGGCGCCTCATTGAGCAGTAGCTGATTGCATTTATAAGTTTAATTAATTGCAATTTTCAAGAGATGCTGCATATTTTAATGCGCATGGCAAATGGGAATTCAGGGTATAATGGTTTATTCAATATGTATGCAACGTTCGACGAGCTGAGTCAATCTGGCCCGTTGCTCTAGACTTGGTAAGGCACAGATCAAGTTTGCTTCAAATTATCGATAGGTTTTCTTGTTTCAATGTGATCGATTACAAACATTATCGAATGCTAGCTTTTAAATTACTTTTATCTCGTATGTTCTTAGAGCTAGAGCAAACAAATATGTGGCCGCGATACCATACGGTGCGGATGTAGGTTCAATACAATACCTGACTAACTGAATATATAACAAAGGTGTTTTTCGACTGTAATTATGTTATTTTTTCATAAATATGTTTAAAAACGCAGATTGGATGGGATTCAGGGTATCTTCTAGTCGGATTTGAGTGTTCTTACTTGTTATAATATTAAAAGTTACAAAAATATTTGCAAATTGGAATGTTTATTGAGTAAATATTAAAAAAAAATTCATAATAGTAAAAACACATGTAGCTGGATGTGAATTGCATGTGAAATGAATAATTATAAGCCGTAAGGGGGATATTTTATAATACAATTCAATTTTGTGAGTACAAATAAAATCAGTTGTTGAATTTAACTCGGACAACATAATAGATATTTTTCAAGGCGCTACGGACTGAAGTGACTCACATAACCTTGCCTTATTACTGACATTATTCGAGTTCTTATATTACATAAATGCTACTTGCGGCAGCCTCAAGGAATAGAGCAACATTCAATGACAGGAAGACCATGAAAACTGATATTGGAAAGTTCCTCAGAATGTTTCATTAGCTTGTTCACACTCAAAATTCAGTCAAACTGAAACTATTCATGTATTGCGCTTGATGCAAAATCTATTTAATGTTCATTAAATGCCAGATGGCATAGCATATCAAAACCATAGCCATAAATGGAGGTAGCAACGTTTTGCGGTGGCTGTATTGACGCAGGACGCAGCTGCATATTCACAATAATTTCCCCAAATGTGTGGTTACGCTTAAGCCAGGCAAACGCCAAAAATGCTGCGCAATAATAATTGCCATTGCGTGTGAGGATGTGCGTGAGTGAGTGTATGTGTGTGTGTGTGCAAATACGTACAATTATTAACATGTATGCCACACACAAACATGAAATGTCTGGCCAATCTACGGAGGGGTTAAGTACTACATAAACATATATCCCGTACAAGAGCAACAATAACAACGACAAATGTGCGAAACAATAATAATGTCAATATATATGTGTGTGTGCGTGGGTGTGTAGGTGTGTGTGCGTGTGTGAATAATGACAAATATCTACAAGTGTGCGCGGATGTCTGTGCTATGGCTCCGCTTGGGCCTTGGGCCACATTGTTGCGCCTTTTGGCCTTTTGTTGTGGCAATTAAATTAAGCTTAACATTTCCCCAGCTCCACACGAATTGTATTGAAAATAAGTTATTCGAGTCTTATTTTTCATGGACATGGAGTGCACTTATGGGAGTATGGGAGTGGACGCACCTGTGCTCGACGGGCGTGGCATTGAAATAATTATGTAGACTACCTTAATGTCACACCAGAGATTTCAGCTCAGCCAACAAATATGGACAATTAATAACCCAGTTCATGTGAGCACCGAGAGCTGAGCGGACTGAGCTATAATTTCTATTTGAACATTAAGTCTAGCTTTATAATGCTATAATCTATCAAATTTATCTTGGAAAACAACATATGTATTTTGTATACATAAAAGCCAAGAGTGGACAACTCCTATTCGTGTTTTCCATTGGAGGCTAAAACAAACTAATTCAATGAGTTAAACTCTTGAATACGAACTTGCGATATGAAAAAATTAAATTCTGAGTAAGATATATTAGAATTTCGAACTTCAAGTTGTAATCGAGCTGCATATTTTTGAACTGTTGGGTTGAGTTTTGAGCTATGCTTTGTTCTGAATCAAGTCTTAATGCAAACTGGACCTGAATGCTTGTAGAGTCTATGAATTTAAAGGCAAGATATGAAACAATTATACATTTCTTCCGATTACGATTATGCCCATCTATTGTTATATTGAAGCCGGCTGGCTAATTAGTAAATATTTCAAGCTACGTAAATAATTGTTAGTTTGTTTTCTTTTATGCAGCTGTGAAAAACACGAATTTGAGTAAAATTTATTTAACTGCAATTTGCGACATTTATCTGCAGATTTATTGGACTGCATTAAATTTCCATTAACGCTAAAACTAAGCAAATATTTGTGTTTTCATACATTCAACTTATACATAAATTTGAGGCGTGTGCTCCTGCTTGTCTTGTGTTATTTTGTGAACTGGCTTGACGCCTGAATAGTCTGCAACGCTAATGTAAATACAACAACAACAACAGCAACAACGACAACAACAACTGTTCGGGCGGTAAATAAAATTTAACAATGCACAAAAGATTCAAAGCAGGTGGGCCATGAATAGCAAATGAATTCCAAGTAAATTTACAGAGCATCGAGTGACATAGAAACGTTTGAGTCGCATCTGGTAAATATTGAAAGTGACTAAAATGTTGGCCAAACGACAATTGTCATAAGAGATTTGTGCCGTGTCTGCGTGTTAGCCAGCTTATCGATGCCTCACCTTGTTAATGTCAGCAATTCAGCAAATGTAAATTGTAAAATTTCGTGCAGCACGAAAATTTGTGTGCTTTGCTAAAGCTGGATTACTTTGGAAATTAAATTGAAAACAATTTGAGAGTTTAGCATATAATTTTATTAACATTGTGTTGATTCAAAAACAAAAGCTCTTTAAATACTGTTTGTGTTGAGTTTATTGAAATCAGTAAACAAATCAAGGAAGTTTGCGGAGTGAAACAGGATTTAGTAAATTGATGTTTTATAAAAATTTTAGAAGAAGCTGACAGTCTGACAGAGAAAGTAGGAAAGGGTTGTTGCAACAGAAAGGGAGGGAGAGAAATACAGAGAAATAAAGAGAGAGAGAGAGATGCGCGATGAGAGAGACAAAGAGACAGATAAAGAGATAAAACAGAGGAGTAGAGGGAAAGGGAATACAGATAAAAGAAAAAATAGAGAGTGAGAAAGATACAAAGAGTGAGAGAGAGAAAGATATATAGATATAGAGAGAGATAGAGAAAGAGAAAGAGAGAGAGAGAGAGAGAGAGAGAGAGAGAGAGAGAGAGAGAGAGAGAGAGAGAGAGAGAGAGAGAGAGAGAGAGAGAGAGAGAAAGAGAGAGAGAGAGAGAGGCAGCGACGGAGAGTGGATTTACTCCCTTTATCATTATAGAACAAGTTATCAGACAAAAATCCTTTAAATTTTCTTCAAGTCATTACCACATATATACATATAGGGTATGATCAATGTCTATATCAGCGTTAGCATCCTTAGACCGGGCCAACATCTTAAAAACGTTGACATTTCCATATTAAAGCATATATTTATTGTGCTAAGCTACGTTGTCCAAGTATTAAAAGTGTCCTTGTGTACTATGTATTGTGTGTCATTTTACTTAGGCATGCATGTTTATTTGATGACTTTATTGCCGGCTTTTCTGGCATTGTCTTTCGGTTGTAATTCATTTTTCAAATATTTGTTAATTAATTTGCTAAGCAAATTTTCCAGCTTTGGCCAGCATGTCAAATCGTTGTGCTAATTGAAAAAAAAAACCATAACTAATACAAGTCTAGCGAATTCTACTCGGTAGTCATCTACATAGACTCAGTTTTCAAATTTCTATTTATTTTCATTTCTTTGATGCAGTATTAAATGCTTGGCAAGGCAATCACAATTGGTCTTTGAATTTTAATCGATGACTGCGTTTAGTTTTTAGGCTTTTCAAAAAATAATTATTAGACTTTTTGGCCGCAATGAATAATAAATTATTTTTCAAATTGAGATTTGTAAACAGAATGTAAAGCATTGAGAGTGCGGTTTGAACCAAGAAATAAAACGAAAATGTTATTAAGTTCGTTATGCTAAGAAAAGTTTTGATATGTAAATAATCTAAATAAATAAATAAAAAAAAAAGAAAAGAAAAGAAAACATTTACCCCATTAAAGATTTTAGATTATATAGATATTATCTTATATTATCTTGATGAAAAACATTTTTAAATTTAAATTACTTATACAGAAATTCAATTGCAAAGAATTACTTGTAAGATTTTATATTTCTATTCAGTCAAATCATTTGTCAACATTTTATATTTACAGACCCATAGAGTGTATATTTCTTATCTGAAGCTTAGTAATATCATACACACTTGATTGTAGCTTAAAAAGATTGAAAAGAAATTTTTTTCTATAAATAACAATAAAACTCTTTGTATAGATTTCGAAAAATATAAGCTTAAAGGCAGCTGCGCTCAATCCAGAATATATATTCCTGTTGTATCAATATGTTTTTCTAAGCATGACATGATGCATTAGCATTAATAGTGACAATTTAAATTTAACTTTGACAATTAATTTAACATTTTGATCGCAGTTCGCCCACCAAGAAATTTCAAGTTTCACGCTTTTGTAGATTTTACGCGCCATGACTGGTAATCTGGTATTTAACTTTCTTATTACTTAGCTCTTTTATTATTCAGCCCAGTATATTTTCTCTATCTTAATCTATAACTAATCAATAGTTATGCTAAGTTAGCTTGGGACATGACGGAAATGATCAAGAATAGGTTTTTGTATCCACTTGGCTACAGTAGTGTAAAGATCGATCCGTTCGACTATATTGTTTTCACAAAGTTTCTCGTTAATATAAATAAGGTATACGCAATGCTCTGCACGATAATTGTTCTATTAATGACTACGGCCTTCAGCTGCGTTCATGCTAAAATAGGTATTTAAATAATTGTATATTTAAAATGGAAATGAAAAAACTTTTACGTAGACATTTCATGGAATTATGATAAACATGGCACTGATTGGCCGGATAAGTGCTTTAGTGGACTACGTCAATCGCCGATTAACTTACTTTCAGAATGGGTAAAGTATAAATTGATATATAAATTTATGTATTTAAAATAGATAATTTTATACATTTTGTATTTGATTATTAGGCAATGCCACTCTTAAAATGTATGTTTCATGTTTCGTTGTTTTAGGAATATTCGCCAAACTTAAATCCAATTGAATTTAAAAATTATTGTAATGCGACTTTCAATAGTACGCGAATATACAACAAGGGAACTACGGGTAAAGTAGCTGATAATGTTTTTAGAGTTATACCAATGATAATACTGAGATGCATTTTAGTAAGCATGAAAATGGAAAACAGCATCAAGAGGCATATGCCTCATATGTACGGAGCTTGGCTGGTTGGAAAATATTATGTGTCAGAGTTGCATTTTCACTGGGGATCTAAAGAAGTTGGAGGCTCTGAGCATATGATAAATGGTAAACGCTTGGACGTTGAGTTGCATATTGTGCATAAGCTTCAGGATTTGAATGCTGGAGCCGAGCAAAACTCTAGTGGCATTGCTGTTGTGGGTATTCTGTTTGAAATCAGCCGGGTGAGCTATTCCCTATTGATCTTTAACATCGTCATACAATTTTGTAATTAAATCCATTTTAGGGTAAAAATATGCAACCGTTTTTTAAAACTATTTTCGACTCTGTCACAAAAGTAAAGAAACACAACCATGGAAGTTATATTCCTTATATGGATTTATGTCCCATCTTGAGCAACGTGGATCTCACTGATTATTTCATCTATAATGGATCGTTGACTACGCCTGATTGTCGTGAAGGTGTCACTTGGATCGTATTTCGACATCCCCTCAAAATATTCCCTAATGATGCTTTCAAATTATGGAGCCTTAGAGATTACCGCGGCAAGCAGCTAAGCAATAACTTCCGCAATGTAATGCCACTCAATAATCGCAAAGTTTATCATTTCAAAGGAAATGCTCATTTCATCAAAAGGCTACAATTAAATTAAAAAAATGTTCTAAGTAAAAAGGTTTTTTAATATATAAATTACAATTTTTGGTTATTTTATATTGTTTATTAAGCATTGAAACGTAACATAACATAAAAAGAGTATAATGATAATTAACAAATCCTAAACTCATGCTATATCATGGCTTCATTAAACAATAATACAAAACAATTACAAATTAAATTATGTTTTCATATTGGGTGGGGGACTTCTTGGTTAGATACTCGTTTTGGCATACCCCATTTTTATCAATTGTCTGAAAGACCTGGCGGGGCGTCTTCTGAGTCTATCACAGAATCTACTAGTGTGCCTTCCACTGTATGCAGATTCAAATTACGCTGAAGGGTTGAGCCGCTCACACGCTAAGGACAGTGCGTCGTTTTTTATGTAATCGAGGCTATATACATGATATGGTGCTTCTTCTGTTGCTTCATTCTTTAACCACATTTTAGCTATAAAGTGCGGCTCAAAATTAGATGCTTGTTAAGGGTAATCCCGAGATACTTACGGCGATGGTAGTCAATTGTGGATGGTAGTCAATGCATCCTTTCAGAGTGACCGTTAAGTTCCAAATCTTGCACCGAGCTGCTAATGTGCTAAGGTACTCCTGATAAAATAACATTGAAATGAATTTATAAATAACTAACGTGGCATAATGCGATTCCAGACTAAACACAATAAAACTTATTCATCCTAAAGAGTTATTATTTCATTGAGTACGCAAGTGTGAATGGGTGTGGCAGTGTAAAACAGCGGGTTGCCTTGCCGGAAAACAATTATAATTACAATAGCCATAAATGTAAATTACAATACGCAGTGCTAGTATTGTGTATGAGTGTGTGTGCGTGTGTGTGTGTGTGTGTGTATGAGTGTGTGTATGAGTGGGCGCTCCGACAGCTTAGAGCAAGAGTCGAAAGTCATTTCCATTCATGTGCAACACACTTGACCAGGAAAACAGGCAGCAGCATGGCACGATTCGGTTTTACTGCCGCTGCCAAAAAGTCGACTATAAAATTTTGCACTTTACAATGCACTCCAGTGTGGCGAATGAGACGGACTAAAAAGCGGACGAGCAGTAGAGAGCACAACAATGGCATAACCGTGAATTTAGATTAGTTATGATGATAATGAGCCGGCGCCATGGCAAAAAGAAAATGGAAGTGGATTTTCTTCCACCTGCAGAGTATTTCAATGAACAACAAAAATCCCTTAACGATCTCCAATTTAGCATATGGCAAAGAACTCGTCCTCCCACTTCTGCTTCTATACGTAAAGTAACTATGTTGTAGGCGCGCTGCAATAAAACGAGTATGAAAAGAAAACCAAGACAGCAGCCCTCGGTTTTTATGGCTCATATAAAGCATAAGCTACGGGGCATATTACAAAAACTGATGTGCAGCAACGAGCAAAGTTTTTCGTTGAAATTTTAGTGGCATGCATTTAGCTCTAATTGGCTGAAAGCATAGAAAGCTTTTGGCAATTGGATTCATGGCAACATGCAGGCAATAGCCGAAAGAAATTAAAGGCCAGCAATGGCTTTAGTCAGACTTTTGACCTTTTTGTTTATCAGTGAATTGTGATAAGAGAGGAGAACATAGTCTAAAGCAAGAAAATAAACTAGATGAGAATCAGAAAGACTACGAAAGGGAAGTGACAAGCATACTTTTAAAGCCATATATATATTTACCTCGTCTATTTGTCAGTTCTTTGCATCTTCAATCAATTAATCTATTTAATATTCTTTGGCAATAAAGCTTTTATATGTTTAAATAAGAAATCTACTCCATGTCGGTCTTTTACGTTTTCTGGGATGCGTAACAGAGATTCTCATATAAAATGCTGGAAAAAACACTAAGCTGCTTTTCAATGTGAAACTCACATCAACTATTCAACTATAATATCGTCAGCTGCCAGCTATCCATTAGTAGCCACTCAGGAGCCATGTAAATGCTAATGCCGTGCAGTAAGCTGCTTGACACCGCCTCAAATCAGCAGCATATCTAATATTAAAACCAAGCGTCAGTCAAAGTTAAGCGCATTTGCGACACTCAATCAAATTGCCAACGACTTGGTGAGCATTTAATATTGAGCATTAAGATTACGTATACGCATAGTTTGACCGCAAATATTGTTGGACTCTGGCGGTGCATTTGTTGCTGCCTCTGCTATTACTACTTGCGCCTTACCAACATAATTAAAATTGTGGTTGAATTATAAATGACACCTGTGGTGGTTAACCGCAGCTATGCAGCAAGCTATGTTCACATTGCCGTCGTGTGAAGTCCTGTGGCTTCAGATGAGCACTTAAGGCAGACCGTTTCACAAAAACTAGACCACACCACAGCAACAAATAAGCAAAGCCAAAAAAAACACAAGTAACAACAACACGTTAAAGTTGTCTGCTGTAGCATTGCATGGTATAAATTTTAAGTGCAACACATTAACGAGTTACAGCCCCAGCACAAAAAGTAAAAGCGTACAAAAAGTACGTAAAATAAAGGGAAGTCGAGTCTGAGTGGCAAATGCACCTGCAGCTGCCGCCAGCTCTTAGTCGAGGCTGCAACATATGGTCGTGTTATAATTGCCAGAGCGCGACTTTTTCGCCAGCTCGGTTCAACATCGAAATGACTTTCCATAAAGCGACGACTGACCCACATTTTGAGGTTACATTATTAAAGCGCTTGCTTGCCGCATGCAAAAAACTTTTGCCATTAAGCGGACGTTAAAGCCACGCCCAGTTTGTGCACCTGCTTGGCGGCTTACCTGCCTGCTAGCCTACTAGCCTACCAGTCGACTCAACGCAGTCCTAAGTCCAAGTCCCGTGCTTGACTTGCACTTATTGTTGAAGGCTGTTTAGCGGCATTCGCTGTACTTGGTATATCCTGTACAAAATCCAAATGGGTATAATGAATAAGAGACCATCTTGAGACTTATGTAAAATAATCTCTCATCACTTATTTGCAAGTAAAATAAGTATTTGTGGAGGTTTGAAGTATTTGCAAACGTCCTTTTAGATTGTAATTTAGACGGGATATCTAATCGACATGTTTGATAGACTCTCACGTCATAATCAAATTTGTTGATAGTTCTCTGGACACAATCTGGGAAACAGGCAAAGGCTAGTGCTTAACAGGGGATTCTAGAGGCGGCTTATTTTCGATAAGAAATGTTGTTGTTGACTTGTAATTTTTCTACTCGACGAAGCTTTTGTCGCTTGTTCTGCCATTTTTATGCCCTTTTTACAGTCCTAATAATAGCGAGCGCTCTCGACAACATAATCACTTGTTTTATGCATATAATTTTCTGCATGAACAGCCTCTAGCTGCTGCTGGTTCTCAACTCTCTTCTCGCAGCTAAAGCTGCGTCCATTCGTATTTTCGAGTCTCTGCCTGGTAAACTGTTCATAATCATTAGTTGGCTGGCAGGCTATGAATAATGACTTGCCAACTGATATTGGTAAGCAAATAGCTGGCGAAAATTATTAATGTGCCTTTGCCTAAGAATTGGGCGTGACTGAGGTAGCAGCGGGCGTGGCGGTGACTTTGGCAATTGTGTATTATTTTCTAGTCGGTCAAAGGTCGGTGGGCAAATGCTTAGGGCCAGCCAGTTTAAGCTGCATTTAGTGGGGCGTGGCTGTCAGTAAACGATGGCTTACATTGATATCTACAACACTTATGAAACTCATTAGAGAAGTACATCAAATAAATATATTTATTGCTTCAGTAATATTCGAATTTATAGCTTTAATCAACATGATATTTTGTCATTATTTTTATGCATTTATTAATTGAAATGTTTTACATTATTATTTTTATGCTCATACGATTTTTCAATGACGGGACTGTAAGCTTCTTATATGATGTTCCAAGAGAATACCAATTTTATTGAATATATATAGAAAGAATAGTAGATTAACTTGAAAGATACACATGGAATACTTTTTTACTATTGGAAAAAAACTACTGAAGGTGCACGACCATGTTCGTCTGATAATCTTTCTGCGGTCGCTGTTTAAATACGTTGTTTTTTAACAAGCACATCAAAAATTCAGAACAGGCTTGATAAACGGCTCAAGACGAAAAAAATATGAACATCAGCCATAAATCGGAAATGGCTTTAAATAATATTCTTTGCTCTCATTTGCCGTTTTCCTCTTTTATATTTTATGGCTTTTTTCAGCGGCGTATATTACACGACTCAATGGGCCAACCGATTGTTTATAAATAAATACGTTGTAGTAGGGAAGTGAAAGCGCAAATCGAAATCGAAAAATGGAAAGAATTTAAAAATAAGTAAAAGGTAAAACCAGTAAGCAGGCTATAGTCGGGAGTACCCAGCGTAAAGATACCCTGCACTCCACTCGCTCATCGTTGTTAGACTTACTGCATATCTTGGTTTGATATAATTAGCGTTTAATAATTTTCGAAATTATGTATCCCGCATGATTCGAACTGGCATCTTTACTTTTAACATACATTTTGCCAAATACATTATACCCTAAATGACCATTTTCAATGGGTTCAGAGTACAATAAAAAGACGATGGCAATCTGTGCGGACTATATTAAAAATGCATTATGAAAAACACGTCTGTTTATTGTGGGTGCTCGAAAGAAAAGTAGCGCAAAAAGCGACAGATTTTATGACCTGTACATATCGTATATATGCATATAGTTGTATGTGTGCATGGATATATAGAGATGTATGTGTGTGTGATGCTGCAACAGCGCCAGCAATCGAAAATAAACATGCATCAACGTGCTGCACGCACCGCCGTAAACATGCTGCCGTTGCAACGATTCTGGAGTGGCCATCGCTGCGGCACGCTACCCCGAAAACCGACACGACACGCCATTCATTTCAAGTGGACCGGTGCCACGCCCCCATTTGGCAAGCACTCAGCAGGAGGCAGTCGAGGTGCACACATCACTTCATTCAGCGGCAAATTGAATAACAACATTTTCCATTTGCTACATATTTTATATGGTGATTAAATTAAAG